CTCCAGTCTGGGCGACAGAGTGAGACTCCAACTCAAAAAAAAAAAAAAAAAATTAAGACCATTTGCTCTGTGAAAGACCCTGTTAAAAGGATTGAAAGTGCCGGAGCAGTAGCTCATGCCTATAATCCCAGCACTTTGGGAGGTCAAGAGGTGGGGGAAATCACTTGAGAACAGGGGTTCAAGACCAACCTGGCCAACGTAGTGAGACTCCATCTCTACAAAAGATTTTAAAAATTAACTGACTATGGTGTCCCTGTAGTCTAAGCTACTTGGGAGGCTGAGGTGAGAGGATCACTTGAGCCTAGGAGGTTGAGGCTGCAGAGAGCTATTCTTAATATTTTCAAGGTTTACCATGTTGTAACATGTATAAGTACTTCATTTCTTTTAATTTCTGAATAATACTTCATTGTGTGGATATACCACATTATGTTTATCCATTCATCCACTGATGGGCATTTAGGTGATTTCCATTTTTTTTGCCCTTGAGTCAGGGTCTCACTCTGCACAGACTTGAGTGCGGTGGCACAATCGTAGTTCACACAGCCTTGACCTCCTGGGCTCAGGTAATCCTTCCACCTCAGCCTCCCTGGTAACTAGGACTACAGGCATGTGCCACCACGCCCGACTAATTTTCTTATTTTTTGTAGAGATGAGGACTGCTATGTTACCCAGGCTGGTCTCAAACTCCTGGCCTTACACAATCCTTCCCCTGCCCTTGGCATCCCAAAGTGCTGGGATTATAGGTGTGAGCTACCACGTCTGGCAGTTTCCACTTTTTGGCTATTTTGAATAAAGCTGTTATGAACATTCATGTACAAGTGTTTGTATAGACATGTGCTTTCTTTTTTTTTTTTTTAGTTGGAGTCTCACTCTGTCACCCAGACTGGAGTGCAGTGGCCACTACTGGCCACTGCAGCCTCGACCTGCTGGGCTCCGGTGATCCTTCTGCCTCACCCTTCCAAGTAGCTGGAACTACAGGCACGCGCTACCACACCCAGCTAATTTTTGATTTATTGTAGAGATGAGGTCTCGCCAAGTTGCCCAGGCAGGTCTCGAACCTGTGGGCTCAGGCAATCCACTCATCTCAGCCTCCCAAAGCGCCGAATTACAGACTGAGCCACCGAGCCCGGCTAGACATATGTTTCATTTCACATACTCGGGAGTGGAATTGGTGGGCCATATGATAACCTTATGTTTAATATTTTGAGGGAGTGGCACCAATTTATGCTTTTTACCAGCAATGTATGAAGCTTACAGTATCTCCTGCTCTTTATGGTTTTGCAAGATGTTAGCACCAGGGAAAAGTAGGTAAAGGATACACAGAATCTCTCTGGATTATTTCTTACAGCTATATGTGAATATATAATTATCTCAAAATAAAAATCTTAATAAAAAACGTTTGATAGTACACAGTGGAAGTAGTTTTCCTTCTATTTTTAAAAGTCTGTATTTCTGTTTCTCACAGTAGTTTTAGTATAATTAAAAAAGGAAATTCCTAGTTAGTGTTTAATAACTAGGCACACCAACAAATTTCACCTGTAATCCCGATGGGTTGTTTTTGGGTGGCAGAAATGGACAGAAAATAGTAATATGTACATCAGGAGGACTGCAAAAGAGGTCCACAGACTAAGAAGACCGAAAACCATTCAAAAATGTAAAATGGCTGGATGCAGTGGCTCACGCCTTTAATCCCAGCACTTTGGGAGGCTGAGGCAGGAGGATTGCTTGAGTCCAGGACAAGAGCAACCTGGGCAACATAGTGAGATCCTGTCCTGAAAAATTAAAAAATAAAAATGTAAAATGGTACAGCCACTGTGGAAAACAGTTTGGCGGTTCTAGCAACATCTATAGTTGGTAGAGAATAGAAATTGAAACAAATTAATGTTTTATGCTCTTCACTTGATAATGGTTGTACAGGCAGCCTAAAATAAAAATACCTTTATGTAATATGCTAGTTTATTTCCACAGGTTTTTACTTAGTAAGACATGTCATGTTTTCTTCCTTAGAAAGAAGACGAGTCATAGAACACTAGAGAAAGACAAATGAAATTTGTTTTTTTATAATTCACTCAGTCAACTTCAGGAATGTTGAGGCTTTCAAAGCTTTTTTAGGTGTGCCTATAAACGTTTACCAGGTCAAAAAGGGAGATGGATTTGTCAGCACAAATAATTTGAAGCTGGTGGTCGTCAGCTGCCCTTTTATGGCGATGTTTTCCTAAAGTCTCAACAGACTTATGCCAGACTTAATTTTAGCTATTTCAGGCAGGCAGGAAAGCCAGCAAAGGAGGCCAGGAGAAGGGACGGGCTCAGGCAAAGTCCTGCATGCTAAGAGGAGAGGCTTGCATTTAGGATACCATCTCATCTTTTCATCCATCAGCCCCAGGCATGTTGGATGCAGCAAACAGACAACACTCATCACCCAGATCCCCCTGATAACTCAGATCGATTTCCCCAGGGAGAGCTAAATGGGCATACTGTAATAGAGCTGGACCTGGTACATTTCCACCAGAGGGGAACTTCCTACGTGTATACCATCAGCCCTGCAGCCAGTCTGGGGTTACTGGACTCCAGTGTGGTGGGAAGGAACAGAAGACCTAGAGTTGAACTTTATTGAGAGACTGCCTGAAAAACATGGAGCCATCTCACGCGAGACTTTCCAATTGGTGAAAAATGCTGTTATTAAGGTTCGTCTTACATAATTGTGTCCAGGTGCAGCCAAATACAGACTTTTGAATGACTATCGGAAGGGGAGAACTTCAGCCTGCAAACTTAATCATCCAACGACTGCCAAAAAAGCACTTCTTTATGCACTGAGGTCGGATGTGAGTTTGCTCTGCCTTTGAGAAAAAAGGCTTAAATAGCTACTGCAGGAAATAAATCAACTTCAAGTACTGGGTAAGGAGCTCCCAAGTAATGGAGCGTACAGAACCCGCAGCTTCTATGCGGTCTCTGCTGTCTTCCTGGAATTCCACTCTGCCCTGCAAGGGTGTCCTCTGTAGGGTAACATACGACATGAAACCCCCCAGTGCTGGACAGGGGCTGCACACGCATTCTTTTCCAATTCCCAGTTCTCCAGAGCTCCAGCCCCACCCTATGTCTGCCGCTTCCAAGCCCAATCCCAGCCCAGAGCCCTACTGAGCTCCACACTGCCTCCTGCTCAGCTGCATGTGAGTTTTATACACACAATTCAGGCTCAGTCCATATAGAACCATCACTGAGTTCTCTCATTTTGTCATCTTAGTTTTTTTTTTTCTTTCTTTCTTTTCCTTTTTTTGAGTTGAGGTCTCACTCTGTTATCCAGGCTGGAGTGCAGTGGCACCATCATAGCTCACCACAGCCTTGACCTTCTGGGCTCAAGCAATCCTCCTGCTTCAGCCTCCCGAGTAGCTGGGACTACAGACATGCACCATCACCCTAATTTTTTTGATTTTCTGTAGAGATGAGGTCTCACTATGTTGTCCAGGCTGGTCCTGAACTCTTAGACTCAAACAGTCCTCCTGTCTTGGCCTCCCAAAGTGCTGGGATTATAGGCATGAGCCACTGTGCCCAGACTTATTTTCTTTTGAGGTATCTCACTGGTCTCCATTCCCATGACAGCTATCTTAGTTCAGGCTTCCATTACCTTGGGCTTAGCCAGCAGAACAGTTTCAATCCCTCTAGTCTTGTCGTTTTCTAGTCCATCTGCTTCCCTGTAGCCAGAGTGCCTGTGATGGTTAATGTTAGGTATTAACTTGACTGGATTGAGGAGTACCTAGAGAACTGGTAAAGCACTCCTTCTGGGTGTGTCTGTGAGGGAGTTTCCAGAGGAGACTGGCATGTGAGTCGGTGGACTGGGTGGGGAAGATCTGCCCACAATGTGGGTGGGCACCATCCAATCTCCCGGTAGCCTGCATAGAACAAAATAGGACTTTCTCTTGGAACTGGGACACTCTCTTACTCCTGCCCTCAGACATCAGAACTTCAGGCTCTCCTGGCTGACACTCTCAGGCTTACACTAGTGGCCCCCTGGTTCTCAGGCTTTTGGCCTTGAACTGAGAATTAAACCATGAGCTTCCTTGGCTCTGAGGCTTTTAGACTTGAGCCGAGCTTCACTTCTGGTATCCCAGGGCCTCCAGCTGGCAAATGGCTAGTTGTGGGATTTCTCAGCCTCCAGAATCATGTGAGCCAATTCCTCTAATAAATGCTCTTTCTTTCTTTTTCTTTCTTTCTTTCTTTCTTTCTTTCTTTCTTTCTTTCTTTCTTTCTTTCTTTCTTTCTTTCTTTCTTTCTTTCTCTCTCTCTCCCTACTTACCTACCTACCTACCTACCTACCTATCCATCTCCTCCTATTTGTTCTGTCTCCCTGGAGAACCCCAATACAGTGATCTTTTTAAAATATAGACTTATTCTTATTACTCCCTTGTTTAGAGCCATTCAATGACTCTCCGGAATCTTTAGGATTTTCTTGGGAACTTCTGAATCGGGAGCAGGGACCTGATTATTTTATTCCTTCACCTTCTCTTATCATTCCCTCTGCGTATCTTTTTTTTTTTTTGAGTTGGAGTCTCACTCTGTTGCCCAGACTGGAGTGCAGTGGCCACTCCCAGCCACCGCAGCCTCGACCTGCTGGGCTCTGGCGATCCTTCCGCCTCAGCCTTCCAAGTAGCTGGAACTACAGGCGCGCGCTACCATGCCTGGCTGATTTTTGACTTATTGCAGAGATGAGGTCTCACCAAGTTGCCTAGCTAGGTCTCGAACCCGCAGGCTCAGGCGATCCACTCACCGAGCCTGGCTCCTCTGCATATCTTACACCTAAACCTTAATGCACTGTCCCTGGTAAATACTATGTACTCACTGCTATACAGTTTTCTTTTTTAAACATTCTGGCCTCTTGCTGTTAATTTCTCATATCACTTGGCTAGTTTCTACTCCTATCTTTAAGATTCAGCTCAATCTTTACCTGGAAGCTTTTCCTGATTCTTTTTTTTTTTTTGTCTTTCTCTCCCCCTCCCTCCCTTTCTCCCTCCTTTCCCTGATTCTTGACTTCTTCTCACAACTTATCTAGCTAATTGGTTCTCTTAGATCACATGCCTCCATACGGCACTTAACACACGGGGTTAAGATTTACTTTTCTGTTTCCTCTAAATCCCATAAGCTCTTTGAAGGGAAAGAACGACTCCATCATCTTTGAATTGCCTGTGCTTGACACATAGTAAGCACTCAAAAAATATTTGAGTGAAATGAATTGTCCACGAGTCAATCCATTAAAACTTGGTGGGCAAATATTGATTTTAGTAGCATCAGTGAGCTAAGAGATTATTTTATTCAATTTACTAATGCTTCCTTTGGACCACATTCCTGTTTAGAAATGATAATGACCGCTTTCCCTTCAGTGCTGGAATTCACTTTTTTTTTTTTTTTGAGGGACATGAGGGACACAGACAACCAGAGGGTGAGAAAGCGGGAGTTTATAAGAAGACAGAAAGGCTCCTGCAGCAGGAGGGGACCCAAAAAACGGTTGCCTTTTTTTTTCTCCCCGAGTCAGAGTCTCACTCTGCCACCCAGGGTGGAGTACAGTGGCACGCTGTTCACGGCCACTGCAGCCTCAACCTGCTGGGCTCAGGCAATTCTTCTGCCTCAGCCTCTCAAGTAGCTGGAACCATAGGCATGTGCCACCATGCTCAGCTAATTTTTTGATTTACCGTAGAGACAAAGTCTCACCATGTTGCTGCCCAGGTTGGTCTTGAACCTATGGGCTCAGGCAATCCTCTTGCCTTGGCTTCCCAAAGTGTTGGGATTATAGGCATGAGTCACCGCACCTGGCTGGAATTAACATTTTGAAGAAAAAAACAACTGTGCTAAGAAATAATGGCAGTGCAATTTTTATTTTAATAGACTCCACGCAAGGACTAGAGACCATTGGCAGCGCTTGAGATTCTGGTTTGGATATCGATGGGGAGCTTTGCCAGCTCATGCCACCACCAGTGAAACAACTGATTTTTAAAAGTGGTATAGAAATTTAATAAAAACTAAAAAATAGAACACATTTAACACCATAATTACTTGATATTAATACTTATATTTGGGGAAAATATTTTGATCATTTTAATACCTTTCTAAATAACAATTTCAGAGGCTATAAAATAAGGTTAGTACTTCCCTAACATTTATGTATGGTTTCCTTTAAAGATAATTTACTCTACATTATCTTTTCAGAGAGAGTGGTAACCAATTTCTACAAGTTCAACAAGTCAGCTGAAAACCTGTTTCAAAGGAAGTATTATTAAATAAGAGGTGAAGAAAACTTATTAACCCCCAAAATGCTCTGTTTGGATTCTCGGTGTTAAATTATCCTCCAGTGTCAAAAAAAAGCAGACAATGGTAAGCTTTCGAAGATAGTCATTCATTCAGCAAATATTTATTTAGTATCTTTTATGTGCCAGGAACTATGGTAGTTGGTTAATAAAACATCTATTGAATGAACGTGCCCTGGTATGACTAGAAAATTGGCATAGAAGACTAGAAATTGGAACGGTACAAAACACAGAATCAGCAAGATTAGCTTATTACCCTTCATATTTTGGTTCTGAGGAGTTCATTAGTTAGGGTCTAAAATATGTATGTCTCTTGCCTTTCACAAGCAAATCCAAATTTGCTTTTGGTTTTTTGCTAATCAAAATATTTTATCATTTGCTTTGTGTTTAAACATGACTCATTGGGAGTTAAATATATTTTATTAGGTTGACAGCTCTTACTATTGTCTCAAAATAGTTTGCAAATAAAAAAATAAGTATTGCTTATCAAGTTTAACTAACCTTTCCATTCTTATTGCAGGCAAATCACAAACTTCAAAGTATGCTGTATTTGTATTATCATGCAATGCACAGAATAGTATAATGTCCCCCTTCCTCCCTACAACTTACCTATTCATTAACACTTAATAGATCACTGCTAAATGTTTTTCAGCCCTTTTGAATACTCTACTTTATAGATGCTCTGACCCTAAATGACGAGACAGAATACATCCATGTTAGTTCTGTTCTATTTTACATAATGTATTCCAAAGGAAGTACACTATTCAAGTTAAAATTAAAGATCCTGCTAATGTCTCCATTGCATTTTCTACTTTCTGGGGACTTCTGTGATCTTTATTTACCATATACACTTTCATCTAGCTACTGAGGCTGGATTAGGGTAAACTGGGGACAGCATGGCAGCTTTTTTCATCAAAGCCAGCAAGAAAGAGAGTCAGAAGTCTGATTTTGGAAGGCTTCTTTCCATCTTCCCATCACTTTTGCTGTATATTATTGGCTAGAAGCAAGTCACTAGTTCCAGTTCACATTCAAGGAGAGGGATACCCAAGTACACAGATAGCTGGGGTGAACTAAATGGAGAAGTAGGCTCTTCATATCTTGTAATGTAAATGTTTTAAGAACAATTTTTAGTGTCCCCTTTTAACTGTGGTATAGTATACCTACAATAAGCTGTGCCTGTTCCATGTATAGTCTGGTGAGTTAACATGAAATCACCACTGCAATTAAGATACAAAACATTTTATCGCCCCAAAATTTTCTCATGCCCCTTTTTGCTACACCCATCTTCCACTCGTGATCCCAGACTTTTATCACTATGTCACTATCAATGTTTTCTAGAATTTTATACACATGAAATCATAAAGTGTATGTTCTTTTGTTCCTGGATTATTTCACTTAGCACAATGATTTTTGAGATTTCTTCATATCGTTGAATATACTATTAGTTTGTTCATTTTGATTGCTAAGTAGAATTCCATTGTATGGCTATGCCACATTTTGTTTGTTCATTTACCTTCTGCTGATAGACATTTGGATGTTTTCACTTTTTGACCATTGTGAATAAAACTAAGAACATGCATGGTCAAGTCTTTGTCTGAACACACTTTCATTTCTCTTGAGTAAATATCAAAGAGTAGAATGGCTGGATCATTTGGTAGGTGTATTTAAGTTTAACCTGAG